TGTGTGTGTGTGTGTGTGTGTGTGTGTGTGTGTGTGTGTGTGTGTCTTCTCAAGTCATTATTATATGGATTTTCTGGAAGGAAGCTTTCTAAAAATAAGGCTTCTATAGGAAATGAACTATTATTTTAGGGGTAAAAAGAGATTAAATGATTATTCATAAGAATTTCCAAATCATTCAGGAAAATTATTCTTCAATTTGGTTTTTTGGTTTTTGGTTTTTTTCTCTGCAAGACTATCTAGATTCTAGAATATGGAATATGTGAACAGACATTGTGACTTCTAAGAACAATCTGTGAAGCAATTTTTCCAGTCTTATTTTGCATTTGACTTGGGAAGTGTGTGTGTGTGTGTGTGTGTGTGTGTGTGTGTGTGTGTGTGTGTGTGTGTGTGTGTAAACCATACTTTAATACTGATTCAATACAGGCCATTTAATCCAACCTACTATCCTTATGTTTTGAAATGTATGCCTATAAAGGAAAATAAGAGAGACTCATGAGTTCTCCAGCTATGAAGTTTTGCAAATGTAAGTTATTTGGGCAGACCAAATTATGTGATCAATGTTAGCATGAAAGAATATCAACCCTAAGCTGTGTGAACAGGGCAACAGCTTCTTCTGGTGCACATAGTGTAGATCCTTTTATCTTCCTCATTGAAGTTTTTCCTGCAGACTATTTACTTTCTTGCAAGTGGCCTGTATTTGCTAATACAATTTAAAGAACCTGGACAGAGTGATAAAGGATGACATGCTAGCGATTGACCTTGTGTTCAAGCAGTGTGCAGGAGTGTTCCCACTAGGTCTGGTGGCTTACTTGCAGTGTATACAGCAGTTAACACAGAGTGTGTTTTGAGCATTAATAGCTATTTAATGAATGACTGACTGCTTTGTGACTCACCAGTCTCACCTGCTCCTTGGATCTTTTATATCAACTAGAAAGGTCATTACTCATCCTGTATTCCATGTTTTGTGATCTTATCAATTTGCTATGCATTTGTATTTTGTAAGCCTCATACTAAGGTATTCTAAAACATTTTTTTGTGCAAATGTTGGCATAGTTGCTAAATTTAAGGACCTACGAATATAGACTGAATTAAAATGTTTTCCTAATTGGTATTTTTAGGTGACAGAAATCTAGGGTGAGCTTTAATAGTTTCTTTCAATTACACCTTCCTCCCTTGCAGTAAAGAAACACAGTACAAAATGTGATGGGAATGGTGTCTTAGCCCTATAGCCCTCAATAAGGTGTGTGTGTGTGTGTGTGTGTGTGTGTGTGTGTGTGTGTGTGTGTGTGTGTGTGTGTGTGTTGCTCTAGCTTAGATTTATAGTCTGGGGAAACTGATCTCATGATACTCTCTGTCCTTATCATGATTTCCAGCACATATACCATGCAACATCTTTGCTGCCTTTCACTGGATTATAGTTTCAACCACATTGAGGTTGCCGCATATGTTCAAATAACCGCAACTGAAAAGGCAAACCATGATTGATTTTTGTTCCTTCTTCGCTGTATAAAACTGCTTTTGACTTCAAAGAGTTATCTTAGCTGAAAACAGAGGATGGAGCAGGACCTGAGCAGTGATTCATGGGAGTAGATGGAAGTGAATGATTAGTTCATGTGCCTCTGGTCTTCAGTGATGCCATAAATCCTGCAGGGGTTCTTTAACGTCAGGCTAGATGCCTGCCTCTGTCAAATCTCATATAGACTAGCATATATTATAAACTGAGAAATCTAGGGAATGAACAAAAATTCCTTCACCCAGTCATTCATTTTTTTAAAGATGTCACATTGACATGCCGACAGAGGATGAAAGCATAATACTGTTCTCTTTTAGCCATAAAAGCTAAATTTGCATATTTATAAACACCAAGACCCTTCACATATGGCAAAACACACTTAAAGCAAGAGACAAAATGCTAATTGATGATAGTCTAAAACCTATCTGTGACTTCTCAAGTCTCCAAGCTAGTTTATTCCCAAAATGAAAATGTTAAGGTGCACTGGTTCTTAGAATAACGAGAAAGGCCATGAATATATAGCCAAGCCAAGGAAGGGGGCTTCCCACTGTGCTACTTAAATCAGCTTTTACAGCAGGGCTTCTCTCCCCAGGATAGTAAAACTTAGCGTGTATCTGTGCTGTTTCCTTTGCGTTATATGGGATGCTGAAGGATCTCCTCTCAGGGAGTTAATATCCACCAGTTGAAAAATTATTTTCTTTCCTTCATCATTCTTCACTAGAGTTTTCTAGAACACCAAACATACAATGTATTTAGCTAGATTCTACCAAAACATAAAGCAGTCCAAAAACATGGAAGAAGAGTCATTAAAAGTAAGGGTGCATATAAATACATTGAAAATAATATATACCCATAATATGGGAATCCCTCCTTGATAAGCCCTGGGAAGCCACCCTCATTGTCAGAAATGCCAGGAGTACGGGGGCAAAAGTCGAGGCCTCCATTTGGACTCCAACCCTCTCTCTTCCAGCCTTCTTGAGCCCTGTATCTACTACTCGGTGCCAGAAGGTTGCAGCTTAGCTGTCACCCCTCTGATAGTGTGGCATTTCTCCCACGGGGCCCTAGAAATGCAGCCTAAAACAGGAAACTGGCTCTACCTTCATGAAATGCTATCAAATCACCTCCTTCTAAAGCCAAAATATTTGTAAAGAACTGAGAATTTCTGCCACTCCTTCTGCTGACAACTGCTTTTATTGTAAAAGAAACATCTTTACCTCTTTCAGAATTTGTTAAAATGTGCAGTGAGTGTATGGTATTCGATTTGTCCATTTGTATTATATTCTGAATATCTTATCTTCAGAGAGAATTATTTTGCTTTGGAGAGTAGGAGGGAAGGAGAAAAACAAATGTGTGGTAAACTAGCCAATCTCAGTCACTTTAAGAGAAAACTGTACAAAGCAATAAAGATACACCATGCCTTACAGAAAGGTAAAGACTTTTAGAGGTAAAATCAGAACCAGTTGTAATGGCTGTTGAGGTGGGAGTCATGTTCCCTTTGGCGCTGCTCATGTAGTATAGGTTTCTGACCTGGGGTACTGCCGCCATCAGTCCTGACCAGGGGAGGTCTGGAGGGTTGCTGTGAGGCGTTTTTAAACTTATACTTTTTTACATCTAGAGAAGATTTACAGTTGAGGACATCAAGCAAATTATATACAGTCCCCAGCCCCCACGCACCCACATATACAGCCTGCAGTGTGTTCCTTACTGTGCCTTCATGTGGTCCCTTTTTAACAAGTGAGGAACTAGTGTCAACTCACTGTTATCACCTGAAGTGTTTATGTAGAGGCATGTCTCTGATGCTAGCAAACTGTCTTAGATAACCCAGGACCACTTGCCCAGAGGTGGCACTTCCCACCGTGGGCTAAGCCCTCCCACCTAATCATTGGTCAAAAAGGTTCTTTCACATCTCATCCTGCAGACTCATTTCTGCCACTCGGGCATGTTATCTGTACCCCAATCAACCCATGCTTCTGTGTATACATTATCTCCTGCGTGGTGGTTCATCCTTTCTCTCAACAGCAGACACCAAGTTCAAAATGTATTGCTCTTTAAAATAGTTTGTTTGATTGTATTTAGGCCTTTTCTGATTGAATATTGAAATAAAATGTTCCCTACTATTTTAGGGCTTTCTGTGTCTATGATAAAACACTAACTCAAACCAACTTGGGGCAGAAAGGGTTTATTTGGCCTACAGTTTACAGAATATCATTGAGGGGAAACCAAGGCAGGAACTGAAGCAGAGGCCATGGGGGAAATGCTGCTTATTGGGCTTGCTCTCCATGACTTGCTCAGCTTGCTTTCTTATTCATCCCAGTACCACTTGCCCAGGGGTAGCACTACCCACAGTGGGATGAGCAATCCCACTTAATTATTAATCAAGAAAATGCCCCCCAAAAACATGCCCAGTCCCATAGAGATAGTTCCTCAGTTAAGCTACCCTCTTCCTAGGTGACTCCAGTTTGTCCAGGGTTGACAGAAACTAACCAGCACAGCTATGTGTACGTTGTGAGGATTTCAATGATGGCCACAGGAGACAGGCTAACCACGTATAGTGCTTATGTTGAGTTTTGAATGTTAGAAACCTGACTCTCAGATAAGTAAAGATTTTACTTGGGAAATAGTCTTTTAGATATAATTAGACAAATGTTTGTTTTTTAGCCCAGAATTCTGTGTCACAAAAGGCTGCATCTTCAGTAGGTGCAGTGGATGGTATCTTTAGAATTGGCAGGTGTAAGGAATAATACTTTATATGTGTGGTTCTGGATATATTTAACCAGTTTATCAACTGTAAAACTGATAATTATAGTAAGCTGATATAGAAAAGCTCTTCAAACTAAATCGGCATTAGTCAGTTCTTAGGACTAAAGCACGTGCTAAGTTATTTGTGGTTGGCATTGTGGTAAGGCACATTAAGTGTTGTCCGGCTGCTGGCACGCTGCCCATTGCCCCTTTCCTCCCCTTTTTCACACTCGCTCTTCTCCTGCAGGGCAGGCACAGGCTCCGTGTAGACACTGGAATGGAAGGCAGCTGGTGTGGCCTTGTTCCTGTTGGACAGCATTGCCAGGTGACGACAACAGGCCTGAAATGGAACCTCAGTGAGTCAAACCCTTCTGAAAAGGGGGGGGGGTCTCTTTCCATTGTGAGACGGTGTGTGTTTGTTTTAGTCAGAGACGGCTTTGAAAACATGGGCCTCTAGGTAAGCCTCCTGTTCCACGCCTAGCAATTTTCATCCTTAATGTCTTCGATGGTCAAAAAGTAACCTAAGGATGAACTGACAGGCTGTTTTCTGTAGTCCCTGTACTACTGCAAACCCCACTACCATCTGAGTCATTTATGCTTTTCTCCTGTGTTGCTTAGAGCCTAACTTTGGCTTGTTTTGTTGATGACTTACGATGGCCCAGCATCTCTGCTATAAGCTGTATGGGACATTTGTATAACTTCTGAGAGAAAATAATATCAAAGTCTTTGCTCATCTACTAATTAAGCTGTTCCCTTTGGCCTGGACTGTGAGTCCTTCACATGCTCTAGTTATGAGTCCTACATCAGATATTTGGCTTACAGATACTTTCTTAGAATTCTTTCCTTGTATTTTTATTTCCCAAAACTTAACTAACTAAATTAATTCTGATGAAGTCAGTTTTTCTTTTTGTTTTATGCCTCCTGATGCCATGGCTGTGATGTCCAACTTCTTTCTTGATTTATGTACAAGAGCTACACTTTACTTTTTAGAAGTAGCTAAAGTTCTGAAGTTGCAAGTGGTTTTCATAGTCAAACCTTTGAGCTCTCACAGATTAGCTTCTGTTATTAAATATTAAAATGTTTTTCAAAAATTATGAGCTACATTAAGCTATTCAAAAACTTCCTGACTTGAAAAATAAAACAGAATGTTTATTCAATAAATGTTGATGCACCCTTCAAAAAAAAGAAAAGAAAAACTGCCAGACATAGAATCACTCAGCCATGATTAACCACACAGTCTATCTCAGGCTGTATAAGAAACATGTACAACACCATGTCATTCTTTTCTAACATGTTTACCATTGAAATAGTTTGAAGATAAAAAAGATTATTTTTAAGTCCTTTCTATGAGTCAGTGATGAAATAATTAGGAAAACTGGAACTGCTTTGAAACACATCTATAGACTTGTCAGTTTGAAAAGAAAGCAGGCCTCCTCCCTACATATAAGTGCGTAATGACTTTGAAGCTGTTCAGCTGAAGCTGGCATGAGCTCCATTAGAAGTCTTTTAAAAACATTGCAACCCAAATCAACTGTTTTAGTTCCTACATTTCCCATTACTTACAAAGATCCTAAGTAGACAGCAGTAAGCTCTCTTCCAGATCTAGTGGTGACCACATTTTCCAGTGCTGGCACCAGGAAGGATAAAACACCAAGCCAAGAAACAGATGGGGAGAGGTGTTGTAGCCCAGCATGCTAGTCCTGATGGTAATGGGAATCATAAGTCCAAGTATAGTTCCCCTAAGCTCTTTAGAATACCTTTCATCCTCTAGTTCCCACAGCACTATGTACATGCTGAAGGGTATAATGTTTGATTTTGCCTAAATGCAATATGCCATTATCCATTTTTTAGTTATAAGTGGTTTTGAGTTTTGAAATAATTGTTTTTCTCTACATCTTTATGATAATAAATGAAAAACTGCTGGGCATGATGGGGTACATCTGTAATCTCTAGCATTCAGGCATCTAAGGCAGGCTGATTGCCACTAGTGTGGGGCCAGACTGGACTACCTAACTAGTATTGGGCAAGTTAAGAGTTAGATTGCCTCAAAATGCAGCCAATACCCAGCAACTTCTTAGCACATACAAAGAGATAGAATTGAAATTATCAATCAAGAAAATTCTTGTTCTAGGGGCTTCTAACATGGGTTGTATTTAAAAACAACAGAGTAAGTATGATGGTATATGTTAACAACAGAGAAGTGGTTTGATTTTGTTCACAGATGCCCCCGTTTTACTCAGTTCTGCACTCTGGTAGGTCACCATTGTTCTGTCACAGCTGCAAAGGAGGCTCCAACTCTGAGAAGAAAGAAAGAAAGCTACAGTAGCTTAGTCCTCAGTCCTTCTCACATCAGTGAAAATAAGCAACTTCTTTTGTGGGCACTCCCATAGTCAGCTGGTTTCATGCTTTATGCTTTTACCTGCCCATCTAACTCACTTTAAGGTCTGGTGCCACAGGTTCTGAAAGTAGTCTAATATATCTGTTATCACTCTGCAAACCCACACATCACATTTTCACATTTTAAAAAGTATGAAAGATACCTATGTATCATCTTGAAGAACTGAAACTTTCCAAATAATAGTTTTATTGCCTAGCAGCATGATATCAACATGCATTGGATCAAGCCTTGCACAAGAATTGCTTAGACTCTATACCATAGGCGAGAAAAGCTTCTCATAGGTTACTGTAACTTAGCCTTCACTGCAAGCACCATGTTCTCCTGCACTGTTACCATAGTGGACTCTGTTTCGGGAGATTTGTTCACACTGACACTCCAAGACTGCCAATAAAGTTAAACTTAAATCAGAGGGTGGAGTCAACATTCAGCTGGCTAGGATTAACCATAGAGTTTTTGGCAGACCCAGATTAAGATAGAGAGAGACAAGAAGGAATAGGAATAGGCTTAGATTTGTGGTCATTTCAATCCAGGAATCATGGAGATACTGGGTCAGCTTATATTTCTCCATCACTCTGTAGATCTACCATGTTTTTACCCTAATATCTGACTCCTGGGTTTTATTTAATTATAGAACAATAAAAGTAGTCACTTCAGGACTCTGCTCTCGAACACACAAGTCTCCTGTCCCCACTCCTTGGAATGCACAAATGTAAATCACTTTGATGAGCTAGCATGTCAGTGATATGTCTTTATGGTCTCTGCTGGTAAGCATGATGGTTTTTGTTTGATTGGCAGCTTCTGCTTCCATACTTTGCTACTTTTTTTTGATGGTTTCTCTCTTTATTCTCTCATATTGGCTTCATACTTTGCTACTTCTACTTCCTTTGCCCTGGAATTGCTCATTCATAGAATGTTATCAGTCCCTGATTCACCTTTTTAAATCTATGTGCATGTGTGTGTGTGTGTGTGTGTGTGTGTGTGTGTGTGCCTACCAGAGTTTATGTGCACCACCTGCATGCAGGTGCCCGTGGAGGCCAAAGAGGACATCAGATCTCCCAGAACCTGGATCTCGCTCTGTAGACCAGGCTGGCCTCGAACTCACAAAGATCCACCTGATTCTGCCTCCTGAGTGCTGGGATTAAAGGCGTGCGCCATCACCGCCCGGCTCAATCTTAAGTTCTTTTAACAATTTCAGGCATGCATATGATCAGTTTTGTTATTACCCTGTCTCACCCACTCCCTCTCCTGTTGAAATCCTTCTTCCCTCCAAGCCTCCCTGCTACTTTCTTGTCTTGGGGTGTAGTGAGAAAGGATGGGGACTGCTTAGTTGTACTTCTTACAGGAGCATGAATTGGGGGTTATTTACTGCAACTTACCGGTGGCTATTTCCACTAAAGAAAAAGGCAGCTTTCCCTCAGCAAACATTAACTGACCATTGTCCCTTAGTGAGGAGTAAGACCTCATGAGCCCCGCTCCTCTGCGTGATGAAATGTTGATGGGTCCAATCCTGTGCAGGTAACTGAAATACACTAAAAACATTAGGAGGTTGTTGTATGCAGAGAGGGAACCAAAAGAGCCAGAAAAAGGAGATGATGACTGCAAGAGGTCAGTAAGGACGAGTGTAATCACACGGAACCCTTTATTGTTGGAAAAGTCAACAGCAGAGCTCTGACTAGATTTCAGGGATAATTTGAACTGACTTGACTTAGGTGTTGCCCCAGGGAAATTTAACATCACTGGAAACTGTTAGTACAAGTATCTCTTAAGATTCCTGTTTTCATCCTTGAAGACTGAATTTGAGCCTGACTTTCTGACTCCTAAGCAAAATCATGTCTAGAAGACATTGTCTCCCAGCAGATGTTCTGGTCCTCTGGCTCTTACAGTCAGAAAGTCCTAACCATCACTCCTTGCACACTACCTCCTCAGTCAGAAAGTCCTAACCATCACTCCTTGCACACTACCTCCTCAGTCAGAA